GTACAAAGATCGAGATTCAGAAGCTTCATCTCAATGTTGAATCGTATGGAAATTTCGAAACAACGTTATTACAAGTTAAAGTCGTTCGCTGGAGCGACTGTACTTTATACACACGAGCGTCACGTTTCATCGAATGACGCGGAGCCCCGCCGTTGTCGCCAAACATTAAAAACTAAATATTATCTTCACGACAACGACGGTCTCGAATCAGAGAATTTCAATTACATAGATGCTTCGAAATCGGTGTCTTTATTCCTCACTAAAGACTCTTTCTTAACCAATTAATTTTCTATTATGCCCTTTCTTTTCTCTCTTTCACTATGAATATACACATAGGAACCTTCATATCTGTGTACACTTTGATACTTTTACGTTAACATAACTGTTTGTCCTTTTCATGTACGATAAACATTTGTAAATGAAATTAAAACAAAAAAACCGAAAATAAAAGATACATTTGACAAAATCTAATGAAAAATAATATGTCAATCGTCGTTCCGTTGAATTGATCTTAATGGAATGTTACGTTTGATTGGTCGTCAATCTTCATTCGCCAACCGCGCGTATGCATGGTAACGTTCAGATTCTCTCTCTTTCTTTCTCATACCCTTTAGCTACTCCACTTTCTCCTTCTATTCCAGCCTTTCACATTTATTACTTTCCCGTTCTCGCGATTGCACTCGCAATCACAATACGCGTGCGAATCTGTAGAGACAATACTGTAATACATGTAACTCGTCTTTGTAATTGGGTACAAAGAAACGGAACTCGCTTTTTTGCACATTACATTACTAAGAGCACTTAAACCACGCGACACTTAAGTACGTTATAAAAATACGCAATATTGTTATAGTAAAATTTTTAGTTTTCAGTTTGAATAACTGTGTTTAAGTTGTCAAAAAATGGTACTTTTCGAGACGACAGCCTTCTCAAGATCATAGTGTACGGTAATTTCCTTCTTTCCTTCTTTTGTATAATTTGCATGAGAATGTGCCAATCGCCATTAAGCAAACAGCTAAAATGATACCACCTACAAACAGGAAAAATATGTGGTGCATTTGTAAGTTCTCTTCGAATGATGTTCTAAGTGGGATCTGTCTTTGATGGGTATTAAATGAAACCTAATTTAAATAATGCTAATGAGCCATACATGTGTCAATTATAAAATGCTTACCTACGAAACTGAGACCATCAAAGTCTCGTCCTTTATCAGGCGATTGTGAAGGTGGAGCTTCCTTTGTTGATATTGGAACTGCTGTTGTAGCAGATGGTGGTGAAACAGTGATTGGGCTGTTTGTAGTTGTAGATGGTGGTACATTGCTAGTTGTAATTTTTTCGGTTGTAGTTTCTGGTTTTTTTGTTGTTGTCAATTTTGTTACTGGGATTGTAGTTGTTGTAGTTGTAGTTGAAATTGCAGTTGTGCTTGTTGATACAGAAGATGTCATTGGAAATGCAGTGGTAGCATTAGTAACATTACTAATGGAATTAGGGAGGGAAATATTAGCAGTTGATATATTATTAGCTAGAGCGTTTGGAGTTTTAGAATCATCAGAAACTACAGTAGGATTGGCGGCATTTGTAGGTTTTGAAGGCATTGCAGTAGTTACATCTGCTACCTCATGGGTCTGAGTCTCCTCTTTTGGTGGCACAACTGTGTAAAGAATTAATATTTTATAAATCATGAATGCTACTAGTTATTATAATATTTCAATTAATAAAATTGTTATAATATAAAAGTAATTTAAATATTTATTAAAAAATTTTATCAAAATAAAATGAAAAAGATAATATTTCTGAACACATTATACTTGTAAAAATTAAATTTGATGGTTGATTTCTATTATATTTGCCATGATTATGTATGCAAAACACGTTTAGTAAAAAATTAAGTGAACAAGAGTAACATGTGTTTTAACATATAAAAATAATATTATATATAACAATAAAGTTTAGTCACAAACAAAGTTTTGCGAAATTAAAATTTCACGATACTGTTCTTCAGAATGTCCTAAAAATTAAAAAAGTTACAATAGTTACGTTTATTACACAACTTACAAAGAATAGAAAAAAAGTTGTAACAAACCAGTGTCGCTCATACTATGACCGAACTATAAGATACCGTCGTGTATGAGTACGTGATTATAGAACAAGAAACTTACACAAAATCAATAATAGTAAAACTGTACATAAAAGCACTGAAGGTCGTCATGATTAATCGAAAACCTCGAAAGGAAGCGACAAAAATGTCTGATAGTATAAAATTAATTGGAACATATGTATATTTCTAGATACTTCGAACGGTACAAGGAAAAGGGGCTGCTACGTATTATGCAAAACAAACGATCGTCATTGCTACGTAGAATTAAATAATTTGTCAAGCATTCTACCGTACCGTTTCCTTTATCATATGACGTACGCCGTTATTTTTCACGCATACAAAGAGTTTTACAAACAATTCGAAAAGAAATCTAAGAAGGAAGTGCTCCATACACGTCAAAGATCTTGATTTCGAACGTTCATAGATTCGAAGGAGGCAATACGGCACGCAACGTTTACACTTACCATTGCCCGCACAGGTGCAGATTATTGCAGCCAAGAGGATACAGGGTAAATACACTAATCTCATGGTTATGCTCAGGTACAAACAATTTTAACAATTTACTTTATGAGCTCCTCAAAAAAAGTCAAACTTTAAACAGATCTCTTGCAACAACACGTCACAAAAACGTCCAACGCAAGCTTCTGCTGGAATTGAACTGGAAGCTAGGCTTCTTCCTCCACCAATTGCAACTCTACAAGCACAGTAGCGACGCTACGCAACTTCACATTTTAAACACTCCCCCCAGATGGCACACATGGTACCCAGGCGTCCAAATGCTGTTAGAAAAATATATTTACCGTATCCTTAATTTAAAAGTAACATGGAAAAAAAAATATGTATTTCATGGAATACGAGTAAGTAAATATGGTTAGCAACGTGTTCCATGTTTCTTGCAACTTTTTCAAAATTTCAAAATCGAAATACAAGTCTGTTACCTTCTAACGCAGCATGAGATCATGAAAACAAATATTGTACAGACATTCTTTTAAGAAATCCTACCAAAACTTCTTCTAAAAAGCTCTAAAGTCCAAAGTACATCGAAATTTCTGTTCAAACTATTATTAAAAGAGTATATATTAACAGTTCCAATCGACAAGCATGAAACAACATTATCCGAACAATACGGTGAATCCCCTATATTTGCGATAAATTCACGTATGCGTAAACTGATCCCTAAACGCGGCCTCAGCGTCGTGTCGCGTCTTAAAATTTTTATCGATCAGAATCCTCAGTGGTGACCGGCTGGTATGCATATTGGTGGAAGTAGGGAAAAAGTGCACCAATCGGCAAAGAGCACCGCGGAGAGACCGGTGCACATACCAACAACGGGCGAGCCATATGGACTCAACGTTAACGGGTGGCATTGGTCTACGGGTGGCTTCTCTCCCGCGGGGGAATATTCTGGTGAAGTGGCGGCCTCTGGCACCGGGAGACGGAATCGCTAAGGAACGGTCGGGAATGCCGATGATGCGCGTTCTCAGCGGTCCGCCGGATCAGTGCTAGTGCTTGACGCGAGGCGAGTGTGTACGGTGGTGCACGGTCGCCTTCGCCGATACGGGCTGTCTGCACGGGCTGTTTTCGTTCTGGTGTCGGTTCATTTGAAACGTGTCTTGTACAGCTCGCCGTGAGAGACGGTTCGTTTTGAATAAAGTTCGGTGAAGAACCAGGACTCTTGCTATCGTGTATATGCGGACACCGACGAAAAGGGACCGAGCGAGAACGGGTCCGAGAGTACGGTGCGTCGATCAATCCCGAATCCTCGCGTAGTGAGAGAGAGCTTCGACATAGTGGAGGGACCGTAGGGCAGGGTGGCTCGCCACCAGCCGACTACGAATAAAGGGCAAGAGAAATGGGCCGGTCCGTACTTACGTGATAGGAGGTGCATGAGCGCGCGCGCGCTCGCGCTCGTTCTCACTTGCGTGTGTGTTATTATGTGCGTGTGTGTGTGCGTGTGTCCTCGTCTAAGGCGAGTGTGTACGTGAGGAGGAAGAAGAGGGCTGTCAAGGGTGCGAAACGGAAAATCCCCGTCTGTCGGGAGAAAGTGTCCTAGAATCGTAGAAACCCGACCGAAAAAATATAGTAACCGAAACTAGCCGCGTATCAATCCTCGGATCATCGACGATCCCAAGATGACAGCGAAGTACATCTTCATCACGCTGATTAACGCGGCTTTCCTCTGCCTCGCATCGACCATACTCTCGGAGTCAGCCGGAGCCTCTTGCAAGTGGTTGTCCGAGGGCGGCAACGACACCCGTTCCGCGGATTGCACCCTGCGAGTATTGGACCCAGGCGCTATCACTAGCTTAGTCCCATCCCTAGACGGTGCGCTCAAGCTGCGGATTCGTTGCAGCGACGTCCACCACTTCGAGAGCAGTTTTAATGCGCAGAGCTGGCAACGGTTGACCACTCTGCACGACCTGCACGTGCATGGTTGCAAAGTATTGCGCGTGCCGGACGCTGCGTTTCAACCCCTTCTCGAATTAAAACGACTGACCATGCAAACGTTCAACGCGGTTTGGGGTGCTGGTCGAGTCCTGGAGTTCTCGCAGGACTCCTTTCTCGGTCTACGCGAGCTCCATACTTTGGAAATCGTCGAGAGCAATCTTCAAGCCCTCCCCACGAATCTGTTGTGTGGGTTGGATAATTTGCAAACGCTGAACCTCACCGGAAATCGTTTGCGCGACGCCAATGACATTGGACTGAACCGTAGAGACTTGCCAATCGACGAAACCATCGAATCCTGCCACGCGGATATCAGGATTCTAGACCTCTCGCGTAACGAACTGACACGACTGCCGGAGAACAGTCCGCTGGCAGGCTTACGGCAGCTACAAGAGCTGCACCTGCAACGAAACGAGATCGTTGAAATCGCCAGCGACGCGCTTACCGGGCTGACTGTGCTGCGCACCTTCAACGCGAGTTATAATTCCCTGGACTCGCTGCCGGAGGGTTTGTTCGCCAGCACGAGGGATCTACGGGAAATACACCTGGCGTACAACGGCCTCCGCAACCTGCCCAAGGGTATATTCACTCGGTTGGAGCAGCTGTTGGTCTTAAATCTGGCTGGGAATCGGTTGGGCAGTGACCAAGTGGACGAGACCACGTTCTTGGGCCTGATCCGACTGATCGTGCTCGATCTGTCTTATAATTTGTTGACGCACATCGACGCTCGTATGTTCAAGGACTTATTCTTCCTGCAGATCCTCGATCTTAGGAACAATTCCATCGACCGGATCGAGAGCAACGCCTTCCTGCCGCTGTACAACCTGCACACCCTCGAGCTGTCCGACAACAAGCTCCACAACGTGGGAGCACAACTATTCAACGGACTGTTCGTGCTGAACCGTTTAACGCTGTCCGGCAATTCTATCGCGAGTATCGACCCACTCGCGTTTCGCAATTGTTCGGACTTGAAGGAGCTAGATCTAAGCGGCAACGAACTGGCCAGCGTGCCCGACGCGCTGCGCGACCTCGCTTTTCTGAAGACCTTGGATTTAGGCGAGAACCGTATCAGCGATTTCCACAATGGCTCGTTCCGAAATCTTCATCAGCTGACCGGGCTCCGGTTGATTGGAAACGATATCGGTAATGTATCTCGTGGTATGCTGTGGGACCTGCCGAATCTTCAAATCTTGAATCTCGCGAGAAACAAAGTGCAGCACGTCGAAAGACACGCGTTTGAAAGGAACTTGAGGCTCGAAGCGATAAGATTGGATGGGAACTTTCTATCGGACATCAACGGTGTCTTCACCAGTATCACCAGTTTGTTGCTGCTGAACCTCTCCGAGAATCATATCGAGTGGTTCGATTATGCTTTCATACCGGGGAATTTGAAATGGCTGGATATCCACGGGAACTTCATCGAGAGCCTCGGGAACTACTACGAGATCCGCGACACGAAAGTGAAGACGTTGGACGCGAGTCACAATCGTATCACGGAACTGTCTCCGTTATCCGTGCCCGACAGCGTCGAGTTGTTGTTCATAAATAACAATTACATCAGCGTCGTTCGATCCAATACATTCGCCGACAAAGTGAATTTAACCAGAGTCGATATGTACGCGAACATGATCGAGACGATGGAGCTAACATCGTTGCTTCTGACCAAAGTGCCAGAAGATCGACCTTTGCCCGAGTTCTACATCGGTGGTAATCCGTTCAACTGCAATTGCTCGATGGACTGGTTGCCGGCGATCAACAATCAAACATCTACCCGGGAGTACCCACGTATCATGGACCTGGACAACGTGATGTGCCGCACGTCCGGTCCACGTGGCGTCGCGATAGTACCTGCATCCACTGCCAGATCCGAACAATTCCTCTGCCGCTACGAGACCCATTGTTTCGCCCTCTGCCATTGTTGCGAGTTCGACGCCTGTGACTGCGAGATGACCTGCCCAGGCGGCTGCAAGTGCTACAACGACCGTACCTGGAACACGAATGCGGTGGACTGTTCCGGGCTGGGAGTCGAGGAAATACCGAGACGGATACCGATGGACGCGACCGAGGTCTACCTGGACGGTAACGTGTTACGCGAGTTGCAGAATCACGTGTTCATCGGACGCAAGAATATGCGTGTGCTGTACGTGAACGCGAGCGGCATCGAGTCGATACAGAACCGCACGTTCAACGGCCTGAACAATCTGCAGACCCTCCACCTAGAGGACAATAGGATACGCGAGTTGAAGGGTTTCGAGTTCGAAAGATTGTCCCATCTGCGCGAACTTTATCTGCAGAACAACCAGATAGGGTATATCGGTAACTTGACCTTCCTCCCGTTGCGTTCCCTAGAAATATTGCGGCTGAGCGGTAACCGGCTAGTCACTTTCCCGGTTTGGCAGGTTACCCTGAACGCGAGGCTAGTGGAGTTGTCCCTGGGCGGCAACCCGTGGTCCTGCCGGTGTAAGTTCCTGCAGGAGTTGTCGTCCTGGGTTTCGGACAACGCGCACAAGGTCGTGGACGCGAGCGACGTTTGGTGCTACTACGGCGGGGACGCGAGGCCCGCCTACAGGCGTCGGTTAAACGTAAACGAGACCGTCTGTTCCGATTATTTCTCTCAGGGTGGTGTCATAGAGAGCATCATGGTGTCCGATTATCTGCCTCTTGTAGCCGCGACACTATCCGCTGTATTAGTCCTCTTAGTGATCATCGTCCTCGCGTTTATATTCCGCGAGCCGGTCGGCGCGTGGGCTTACTCGAAGTACGGGCTTAGATTCTTGCGCGCGAAGCCCGGTAAATCGACGGGTACCGCGACGATGCCTTCGGCCGCGCCGATGACCGCTTGCTGCGACGGGGATAGGGATCGTCAGTACGACTGCTACGTCTGCTACAGCCCCAACGACGAGGACTTCGTAATACATTCCTTGGCCGTGGAACTGGAGCACGGTACCGCCGGTTTAAGACTCTGCCTCCATCATCGCGATCTACCCTGCGTGCTCCGCGCTTCCACCCCCGCGCCGGTCATCTTGGAAGCGGTCGATGCGTCCAGGCGCGTGCTGATCGTCTTGACCCGTAACTTCTTGCAAACGGAATGGTCGCGGTTCGAGTTTCGAGCGGCTCTTCACGAAGCGCTACGCGGTCGAGCTACCCAGTTGATTGTAGTCCAAGCCGGCCACCCGTGTCCGGAAGTGGAACGGGACCCGGAACTGCGACCGTATCTCCGTACTGCCGCAGCGATACTCGCGTGGGGCGAGAAAAGGTTCTGGGAGCGTCTCAGGTACGCGATACCACCGGCGAATGTCGGGGACATATCAATGGAGAACAAATCGTCGCCGTTGGTCTACAAACGTAACATCAACACGTACACGCTGGACGGGGTCGGTGGCGAGAAGACGGCGATGTCTACGCTCCGGGCGCACGAGAGACAAAGGACTTTCTTCAAAGACTCGTCCCCGACGACCGCATTAATGCTGCAACACGCGCCTCCCGCCTATTCCTGCGGCACGGTGTCCGTGCCGCAGCAACAACCGCCGCCTTCGTCCTCGCCGCAGCCCAGGCTGACCGTCAATCACGCCTACCGGGATGCGGTCACCGTGCCGGGTAGCAATCTCGTCGCCGCGAACACGACGGTGAGCAGCGGGAGCAGCGAGGATCACAGGAGGCCGCTGTCCGAGCACATATACTCGTCCATCGACTCGGATTATTCGACGTTGGAGAGAACCGCCTGGAGACAACAGCAGCCGCCACCCCCGCCGCCGCCACCATCTTCCGGCCAGGCCTATCTCGTCTAGCTCCGCGCGAATTGTCTTCTGCTTGTGATACATACCGTTGTTCTACGCCCTTTAACTGGGATTTAAAAACGAAAAAAAAATACCGAAAAAAGAAGCTTCTTACCGCTTTTCGTGTCCGCGACGCGAAGGGGAGGGATTCGGTTTATACTCGCGAGGATAGGGTAGGATAGTTCCGCGTCGCTTTTTTCCAACCTAGGACCGATCAATCTGTCGCATCGATGGTCGAGGAAGTGAAAGATATATTTTCGATTACGATTCGCGCGCGTCGAGCGTCTCGGGGGTCACCGTGGGATTAAAGGGGATTTCGCGTTAGCACCTCATCGAGATTATCGAGCTTTCGTTACCATTCGCCGGGAACGGTTTGGTATCTCTCGCGATGGTATCGTCCCGCGATCATCCGGGAATCTAATATCGCTTCAGAGATGTTTACTCGGGACGATCGTTTTTTTTCTCTATCCGGGAAACACCGCGTGCCGAGAGCTTTGTTTTATCGGTGAAAGCGTGATTGTCCACTTTTCTCCACTTGTAACGTTTTCTACTTTTCCCCCTTGCGTTCTGTGTCCTCCACCCTTTTCCCTATCTTTTGTTGCTTTTCATCCTTTTTTCACTGAATATCAAAACCTCAACCTCTATTTCTGTTTCCCTTTCTCTTTC